ATTTGCATTTATTCGAAAACTCCCTTAAGTAGAAGATTCCCTTAAGTAGAGAAAAATGATCTAAACAATGTATATATTATTAATGGAATATTTACACAAATAATGAAGCGCATTAATGTTACCAGTGATCGAACAGTTGAAATTATAGATTATGGTCCACTGTTCGGAATACAATTGGTCCCAGCGTCTGACCGCAATTAGAAAAGGAAGTAATATGTTTAATTAATTTTTATTTTAATTAAAAAGCATCAAATTGGGTATATTTTTTTTCAACTACTCATCAAATATTGGAGTTTTTTTTATACAATAATTATTACCTTCATTCATTATTGTTAAAATAAATAGTAAATATTTTTTTTTCAAATTGGTCGGATCCTGGGACGTTTACCTTGATATCTGGGAAATATAAATTCTCTATTCCTTTTTCAAAATATTTTTTCCTTGGGATTGATCTAGATGTGTCTTCGGCATTGGCATTATTTTTGAATTGTAATCTGTTTTTCGATTCTTTTGGCCAATTTTTTACTCGACGATTCATTTCTTACGATTTTCATTGGATTATTCCTCAAAGGTAGACATCGAATTAAAGGCGAGCCCGTTGCGGTTAATTCGATGCTCTCATAATCGGCGCCGATTACCGAATCAAGCGCATAATTCGCGTTTGTGCGTCTGCCATGCGCAGTGTTGATATTCAGTTCGTTAAAAAGGTTAGCCAGGATCACCGGGTTGTCATTGTCTCATCGACTGCCACTTCAACCGACAATTCGCCACACGGCCAAACTTTCACTTTCGGCGACAGCGTTTCGATTCGAACGCCACTCTTCCTTGGCTTTCGGACGGGAGACGTGTCTTCGTTCCGCCGACGGCGACCCCTCTTCTTCTCCTTCTTCTTCATCTCGACAAGTTACGAGGTCTTCGTGACGATCTTTTTGTTTGGCGAGTTGTCGCGAGATAAATCCGAAAGATATTTTACAGAAATACTCTTGAGATGACTGGTGTAATAATTTCAACTAACACACACACACACACACATATATATATATATATAAATTGCACCAAATATATAATCGTTCAAACATAAATATATAAATTATACACATAAAATACATATAAATTACATAAAAATATATATACTTGCAATTATAATTAATACGTACCAAAATTACGTACAAAGAGAGAGAGAGAGCTCAACTTCACATAATTAAAATAACACTCAGCAGAATTGTGCAGACGCGCGTATTTTGGAGCAAATATCTTTCGCGCGGATTTCACGCGCAACGTATCAAATCGTGAGCCGCGTAAGAACGTGTAATTAAGCACCGACGTATCTCGAACGATATCCTCGACGGGCGTGCGTACCCGAAACTCGCGGACAACTTGCTGTACGCCGCCGCCGTCGCCGCTCTCCTCTTAATCCGCGCGATACCGTATACGGCAACTATAAATAAGATAACTTGCGAAACAAGAGCCTTGTACGGGCGAAAAACATTCCGAAATCGGGTGAAAGCGCCTCGGTCAAGCGAGCCGCCGCCGCCGCCGCCGCTCTACGCTGTTATTTTCCCTACGCGGATTTCTTCACCTGAACCCCTCCCTCCCCCCTGCGCGAGCGCGCGCGCGCGGTTTGACAGCAGGCCGCGTGCATTATAATTTCACAAACGAGCGAGTCCACGCGCATGTCCGCAGAAAGCGAATCCGCGCTAATTACAGTGCGCCACGGATCGATCGGTCGTAAAATAGAGGGACCAATTAAAAGGAACGAACTCGCTCTCGTGTCCGTCGTGTCGCGTTTTGGTCCCCTGATTTTCCAGCGCAGAGAGCAGGGCGGAAGGAACGTGAAGGCGTGATTTTATTCGCCGCGAGCTCCGAAGTCGCTCGTCGGCGGCGGCACACTTCGCGGAGTCGATTCCGCCGTGCGGAGCGAAACTTCTTTCTTCGCGCGCGAAAACAACGTCTCGATCTCGCGAGCCGCCGCCGCCGACACGACTCCAAGTCATGTCCGCCGTCTCGATTTGCCTTCTGTTCTGCCCAGATAAGATAAACGCCGGCAGATAAACGCTGTACACAACACACACATGTTGTATACAGCGCTAATTGCTACATCGAGAAGCGTACGTAGTAGAAACTGTCAATACAACTTACAGGCGTTCTCGAATCACCGGCCGTAGTTTTGGTTCCCCCGTAAAATTATTATCGATATATCTAATTTTACAATTAGATTTCAACGCATGTCATCATGCAATCATAGACTGTCAAATATCTCATTTTGCAACCGGTGGAGGTTATTCGAGCGGCAAAAATTATTTCAGCATTTTTTGCACCGAACTGGAGCAGATCCTCTTTTTCTGCCATTTCCTCGAAGCGAATGATAAACAACTTCCTCCCGTGCGATCGGACTTCAGAGACGATCGACTCTGTAATATTGTTGTTATCTTTATTACAAGACCGTTTTATGGATCCGGTGGCATAGTTTTGTCCCCGGCGATCGCTTTCCGACGTGAGCCGCTTTCGAAAGGGTCGTTGGAGCGGCTTGCCCGCGCTCGCCGCCTCCTCGGCTTGCTGGCCGCATCGCGCGGTTTTGCAAGGACGGAAGTCCTGTGGGAAAATCGCCCGCGGCTGACGACGATTGCGAAGTTCGCGGAGGAGCGAACTGTTAACGAGCGCGTGTCGAAACCGCGCGGCTTCGCCGAAATCGCTCTCGGGGGACTTGCGCAACGCAACTTACGCATCCGCGTCCTGTCGAACGCAGGACCTCACATCGCCGGTCTTACGCGATAGGATAATAATCTGAACACCTCGCATTTCGAAGGCTGCTGAGTCTCCTTCCCTCCCCCTTCCCCGCTTCTTCTCGCCGCTATTCTCCTCGTTCGAAATGTCCTTTAAAGCGGCTCACGGCGCACGTGAGAAAGATCGAAGGAAGGACGAAGATTGCGCACGGCCGCTAGGATTACAGCGGACGTATTTGGTCGACGCCGGCTACACCGCGAATGCCGCATACCGTATTTATTAAAGGCGGATCGTGCGTTAACGCTCGACAAGGCCGAGGAGAGAAGGAAAGAGAAGGAGAAAGAAAAAGGAGAGAACCGTTTCAAGAGAACTATACCAAACGCCGCTCGGCCTCCTCCGCGTCCTTGAGCAGGGCTGGGGAGGGGGGAAGAGAAGAGAGAAAGATGATTGCAATAATTGCGCTTTTATCTCATTCGGACGCCCGCAGGATCTCATCGCGATGGATGAAGGAGGATGAGCGGTCGTGCCTTTGGTCGGTTCTTATCAGAACGTTGATAAATTCTCGAGGGAAGAACGCGAATCAGCTAATAGCGATTTGTAGGGCGTTCTACGAGGCCACCGGCGACCAATAATAGAACGAGGGTTACGTTTTCCCTCCAGAGACGCATTTCTAGGGAGAAATGTTTCCCTGGAGACAAAATCGTCGGGGAGGCTGCACGATCGCCCACGAAATGCACTCTCGGATCGTTAACTTGCGTTTGAGTGCGTGCGTTTTAATTTTACGATAGAGACGAGAAAATGGCCGGGTTAAAGCGGGAATTACACGCGGAGCAGGCTGTTTTCAAGGCTATTTTTACGAATTTTTTTTAACAGAAACGGTAGGGTCAACGGACTTGAAATTTTCCCTGTGTATTCAAAGTATAAAATAAATTTGTTGCTATCTATATGGTAATGGTACACATAAAACGTTTAAATGCGTCTACCTGGAAACAGCATTTTCTTAAACTGTCGACACGATTAACGCAAAAACTACCGAATAACTTGAAATTTTTACACAATATATAGTAGACATGTAGTTTTCGCTCCTACTTCGAACACACAGTTATATTTTGCTTTATTCATTTTTTTAAACATGATTGCAAGTTGAGAAAAAGTTTCATTTTCAATACTTTTTTTTTTTATACAGTCATTATTTCTCCAAATTTGGTTTCACTGCCTTCATTTTGGCACGAGCTACAGTGGCAACCGTATATTTGAAAAATCTTTCTCATTTTATGGTTTCAGAATAATGAGAGGCTCGGAATCATGTCGACAGCAAACATAGAGTTCGCGCAAACGGATGACTGCATTTTTATCTATAATTACAAATTGTATCGGTTCTTGTGATTCGACAAAATGTTATACTTTGAACGTTAATGAATACATTGTGAAAATTTCTATTAAGTCTATTGATCTCAGCGTTCCTGTTAAAAAAAGAAATCGTAAAAATAGCCTTGAAAACGGCCTTTCGCATGTAATTGCCCCTTTAAAGAGGGGTTCTACACCCCTCTTTAGTTTGTAAACAGTTCTTGATTAGCTTAGCACGTTCGAAGCCGTTGATTTCGCGCAGCTTCGACTGCGCCGCTCGATCTCACGCCGTGCGATCTTTCGCGTCTCGTGCTGAACGCACCGTTTAGCACACCGTCGTCATCAATCTCAGCTTTGCTGAATCTCACCACGCTTCGTGAATAATCTGGTCAGACGTTCCTCTCGAGGCGCATCGATAAACGCGCCGGCGGCGTGGCGGGGCGAGAACGTCTCTCCTCGCTGCGGCAACACGCTCTCGAGGGAGAGATTGATTTTCCGCGACTAATTCCCCCGGCTCTACCAACGTCGACGAAGTCTTGACCCAGCTTTAAATCCTTGAGGAGAACGTCAACTCGGATTAAGACAAGTTTAATCGACGTTGGCAGAAACGGGCATAAGCTGAGCTTCTTCTCGCGCCTTACCGTCGTCTCCTTCGTTTTCGTCCTGCTCGACGCCTTCGTTTTCGTCGTGGTCTCTTCACTCGTTAGTAGAGCGCGAAGGTTATAATTAATCCTGACGATGGACCGCCGAAGAGCCGGCTCGTTAGTACGGCGATTCGCGGCCACGAGCGAATCGCGCGCTCTCGCCTTTGACATTTTCCGCAATCGTGCCGCTTTTTTCGCGTTTCGCGCGGCCGAGCGAACTGATCGCGAACGAGAAACCGACACAGATCGACGCGGAATGCCAATGATAATGTTTCCTTGTTACAGATATGGCACAAGCAGTGTTTCAAGTGTCAGGGCTGCGGAATGACCCTGAACATGCGGACGTACAAGGGTTTCAACAAACAGCCGTACTGCGAGGCGTAAGTGAAACATAAATTCTCTCGGTTTGATTCCCCTCCCACATGATCGTGCATCTCTCTCTCTCTCTCTCTCTCTCTCTTTCTCTATGACGAAACACGCGTCCCACTTTGTCGTAGAAAGAAAGTCGCCGTCGACGGTTGTAATCACCAAATTGTTTACCGCATTCTCCACCGCGTGCGCGCGCGACAAATTTCCTCTTGCGCAACCGAGTTAACCGCGGCAACTTAACACTCTCTCGTGAGGATACAATTATGTGAAAAAGCGCGGTGGAGCAGACGAAGAAAGAAGAAAATACGAGCCAGAATTCGAGTTGGACTGCTGGGAAAATTCACCTTCTCTCACGCCGTGCTCTTTGTGCGCGTAGACAAGTGCTCGTACTGTTCACAGGTATTTTCACGATACCGCAGGTATCTGTCCCGACACGTTGTTGACCGGTCACGAGCGCTTCGCTAGCCGAACATTGTTGGCGGCGTGTCGCACTTTCGGACAGATATTAGAATATTCCAGGAAAACTTGCGGAAAACGATCTTAATAAATCAAGTACAAGGTAAACGTCCCAATGGCCGGACACATCCGACCACTTCGAAAAAGAATATTTACTATTTATTTTAACAATAATGAATGAAAGTAATAATTATTGTAAAATAACGCCAATATTTGACAATTCGTTGGAAAAAAATTGCCGAATTTAATTTACTTTTGTATTAAAATAAAAATTGATTAAACAAGTATGCACCTACACTAGGAAAAAAATTTAGTATCTCTAACAAAACTGTTTAGTTGAGGCATTTTTTAATAGCAACCAAATATCTTGCTTTATATAACAAAATATTTAGTTGTCTCAACGAAATATATTTTTCTGCTTTGTTCTCTGGACCAAATGATTTTGTTCTTAGACTTCATATATAAAATTAAGAATTTCAGTTATTTTATCCATAAACATTACATAATAATGAAATATTATTTCACATAAACTAAAATAATGCCCAATGGATACTATTTTGTCTCTCTGTGCACTAAAATTTAGATTTTATATATTAAGAAAAAATCATAGTATTTTTAACAAAATTCATATAGTTAAAGTTTTTTGGTTGCTACAACAAAAGTATTACGTTATTACGAACAAACCGTAATCAAACAAGATATTTGTTTACTATGCTTACGACGGCCTTACTGGAACATTTGCCTTAAGTGACATTAAGTCACTTCGATAATTTCCATAAATTCGCAGAAAAATATGAGGATATTCAGAATTACTTGCGCACAACTCGGTTTCAATGAATGACGAAATCACGCAGATACCTGCGTTTTGAGAAGAAAGACCGAGAACCGAGAGCGGGATTCCAGAAGATTTTCGCAACAATGTGTAAAGAAGGATAACGTAATCGCAGCCTAATGATGTATCAGCTCAGACAGCCCCGAGAGAGTAATCTTCGATCTTCCCCGATGCGTGCCGCAACTTCTGGCTTCTTCGCCTCGGCGAAGTTAATTTTCGCGATGTTGCCTCAGCTGATCGCGCGCTCCGGGTCTGCCGCGACCGCGCCGGAGGCTCATAAACGCCTTGCTCAGCGGAGTTAAGCGCACCGAGTGTTTGCTCAGGGTTCATCAGACGCGCGATTCGCGACGACGCTCATGAGAGAGAGAGAGAGAGAGAGAGAGAGAGAGAGAGAGCAGCGAGGAGAGCGTCGATAGCGGTGACATTAAACGCACGGCACGCACGCGCCTCCTCTCTCTTCTTTCCCCTCTCTCTCCCGCCGTTGCACGCTCGAATTCCGTAGCGACGGAATTTGTGCGTGCGCGTACAATAATAACGCGACGTTTCATATCCGGCAAACGACGGAGCGGCCGCGAGAGAAGCGTGAAAGCGGGAACAGCGTCGCTTGCTACGTAGCTCGCGAAATTGCGAATCTCGGACGGTTAAAACGCACGCCGGGCGTGTCGAGGCGGCGAAAGCGAGCGGCCGGGATAATGCGCGGGATAATCGAGCGGAGGAGTCCTCCTCGGGGGAGGACTTCTAAACGCTCGGCGCGTCCTTTCCACGTCGCCGGTAGCGCAACACTCCGCGCGTAAAAGCTGACGTTCACGCGCGGCCCTGTTCTCGCGAGCGAGCCGGAGGGACGGCAAAAGAGAAGCCGTCCCCGCGATTCTTCCCGGCCAGAATAAATATTATTTTCCAAGAGCTTCTCCCCCCCCCCCCGAGAGAGAATAGCGCGCGCGTGCGTTTGTGCGTTTGAACGATCAAAGCGAAGCACGGCAAAGCGTGTGTCGGCGTATGAGCGGCGCGCACGTGTCGTCGTCACGTGCGCTCGAGTTGCCAGGTTCCTTGTTCCTTTGCTCATTCCTCGCCGCCTCGCCGTTCCTCCCCCCGAATCTGCGTGCCTCGTGAAATAATGCAATAAAGCGAGTAAGATAATCTAATAAAATGGGTGAAATGTTTTAAATTAAGGAAAGAATGCGGAACGCCGTTTTCAAGGCTATTTTTACGAATATTTTTAACAGAAACGATAAGATCAATGGATTTGAAATTTTCACAGTGTATTTATTAATGTTCAGAGTATGAAATTTTGTCGAATCACAAGAACCGATCCAATTTGTAATTATAGATAAAAATGCAGTCATCCGTTTGCGCGAACTTTATGTTCGCTGTCGACATGATTCCGAGCCTCTCATTATTCTGAAATCATAAAATGAGAAAGATTTTTCAAATATACGGTTGCCATTGTAGCTCGTGCCAAAATGAAGGCAGTGAAGCCAAATTTGGAGATATAATGACTGTATAAAAAAAAAAGTATTGAAAATGAAACTTTTTCTCAACTTGTAATCATGTTTAAAAAAATGAATAAAGTAAAATATAACTGTGTGTTCGAAGTAGGAGCGAAAACTACATGTCTACTATATATTGTGTAAAAATTTCAAGTTATTCGGTAGTTTTTGCGTTAATCGTGTCGACAGTTTAAGAAAATACTATTTCCAGGTAAACGCATTTAAACGTTTTATGTGTACCATTACCATATAGATAGTAACAAATTTATTTTATACTTTGAACATTAATGAACACACTGTGAAGATGTCAAGTCCGTTGATCCTAGCGTTTCTGTTAAAAAAAAATGTATAAAAATAGTCTTGAAAACGGCTTGCTCCGCATGTAACTCCCCCCCTTGATCGCAGCCGAAGGATCGGGATATCAACGATTGATATCCGAGCTTCGGAAAATCGTCGCTATTTGTTCCACGGAGAGCCAATGAAACGAGATCGCGTCGCGGTCGCGTTAAACTTACCTTGCTAATCGTCAGTTGTCCTCTCGCGAGATCGGCGGGTCAATCGGCAAGCGATAAACACCGCTCGCCCTCGCTCGATCCGCAACTTTCGGCCGGAGGAAATCGCGGTTGCCGTGAATAATCGGACGGGATCGTGCGTTAGAATCGGCCGAGTGACTGATCGCCATCGGTAGAACCAGTTTCGTCGCCGTCGTCGTCGGGATACTCCCCCGGGCTTCTCGCATAACGCGTCGGTTTCACATAACCTGACGTAAACGACGCGCCGCGCTCGCGCGATCCGGAAGGGCTGCAATTTCGATTCCAATTAGCGTTGCACCGCGCGAGGCGCGTAATTCATGCTCCAACGTAATTAACTCCGACCGTAACGAGTAGCGCGCTGGCCGCCGTTGATTTCGCGCTCACGGACGCCGATCATCGGCCGATCATCGTCGCGAACATTAACAAGAGTGACTGGGAAATTTCTCGTCTCGCTGACAGCCGCGCTTCCATTTGTTATTGCCCTCCCCTGTTCTTCTTCTCTCTCCTCCCTCTCTCTCTCTCTCTCTCTCTCTCTCTCTCTTTGTCTGCCTTTGAGCTCAAACCGACGATGATTACACACAACTCGGTCATTCCGTCTCGTCACAGGCGGCGACGCGAAATCGTCGGAAAATCGCGACGCGAGGATGTCATTTGCCATTTCGTGCAGACATTTTTCCCAACGTTTTAAGACTGGCGTGGAAATAAGCGAGGTTCTTTCGTCGAACATGAGATGAGAATATTTGAATAGCACGGGGAGAGCGTTGTTTTACTCAGGACGACAAACTCGCGTCGCATTGCGTCGAACGTTGGCCCGCGCAATTCGACGGTAATTAGGCTCGTCAGGCGACACGACGAAATTAACTCGAAGCTGTGGTTAATTTTCGTGATCCGGACGAACATCAATTGACCTCGTTCTTTATACTTGGCGCAACGGGAGAGCCGAGGGGGAAGCGTGACGAAGTTTTCTAACGCTTTCCTGTGATGATCTCCTGACAACTTTTTCTCCGTCGAGCGAATTGTCGCGTCGACGGATGCACGATTCTTCATCGCCCCTAAGATAAATGTCCCACTAACTGGGACGTTTAAGCATAGGTCGTCACAGAAAGTACAATATATAATATAATATTAAGAATAGTTTTGATATAAATATTTGCATTTATTCGAAAACTTAAGATTCCCTTAAGTAGAGAAAAATGATTTAAACCAATGTATATATCTATTATTGATTTATATATCTTTATTAATGTCTATATCTATTATTGATTATTATCGATATAAATGATTTAATCGAATGTATATATTATTAATGAAATATTTATACAAGTAATGAAACGCATTAATATACCAGTGACCGGACAGTCGAAATAGCTTATGGTCCAATGTTCGGATATAATTTGTTCGGAGAAAATTAGTATGTGCTAAACGGGAAATAATATAAATATAGATGCTATCTCTTGTTGAATTTATTAACGGTTGACCATTATTTTGCCAAACAAGTAGGTGCATACTTATTTAATTAATTTTTATTTTAATACAAAAGTATCAAATTGGGTATGTTTTTTTCCAACTAATCGTCAAATATCGGAATTTTTTTTTGTTCTTTACAATAATATTTTCATTCATTATTGTTAAAATAAATAGTAAATATTTTTTTTCAAAGTGGTCGGATACGGGACGTGTCTGGCCATTGGGACGTTTACCTT